AAGCCTGCCCATCCACGTACTGGCTACGCCAAAATCGTGTTAGTTGTGCGTAGGAAATATCAAAAATAAGATACAGATGTTACAACACTTGTCACGGATGCCAGATCTTTATAACACTATATCATTATTCAACATGTCACAAATTCCCAACGTGCCACTTCAGTCGTTTCCACTTATCTCAGAGGTGCAATATTTGATTCCATTTATCTCTAGCAACAAATCAGCCCACACAACTGGCTATCAGCGGATGCTGATCAGCCATTTGCTCAGGGCAGCACTTTCCTCATGGGTCATTCGTATACTGTTCACCAAAAAGGCCCCTCCCCCCAAAAATAAATAAATAATGATCTTGGGGCTCCCTCAGTGAGGAATATTCAAAGCAAACCCTACACAGTTATACTTCTGTATGATGTAGTTTACGGCTGCATCAAAGAAAATCACGAGTTTTGTTATGAAGGTCAGACAAAGTGTATACTTTCTACAGTATTTTCTGTAGCTTAGGAGCCAAAGGCCATAGTATGAGCCTTGCTTCTAATTTTAAGAACATGGCATCACAGGTAAACTGTGACGCAAGGCTCTAAACTATGAAAAGTATCTTAGTTTGAGAGGCCCCACGTTTATTTATACTTTTGAGTTCATCTGGTGATCACAAACGAGGTCGTCCGATGTCTGAAGCCGGAGTCCAGACAACGGTGACGTTAGGACTCATATCTAATCGGTCCTGTTTGGCAGCTGCTATCGGTAACCTTTCGTGCAATTCAGCCTCCATCTGCACTGTGTATTGAAATGATTGGCGCCTAAATTATCTTCGATTTTACAAACATGGATTCTGATCAAAGACGCGCATTCTTGCTCTTCTGTTGACTGAACATCACCGAGATTTGTGGTCGGAGTGGGCGATGTGAAAGCGGTTTGGAGCAACGAACGATGGAAACTGATTATCTGAAACGATGAATCAGTATTTTTTTATCCAACCATGGCCGTCGGAAAGGTGTTTGGAAACATCTCTTAAGCTAGTAAAAGTGATATGATGACAGCAACGAAGCAGCATATTTGAGATTCGGTGCTTTTCTGGGGCTCTCTGATGAAAGGGTCGGAACGAGCTGGCAATTCTGGACGGTATCATTGATCAAGACGACAACGCGCCTGCACATCGATTCCTTGTCATATGCGAGTTACGAGCGCAACACCGTGCAGAGACGATTTCGTGGCCATCTCATTCACCTGATCTCACTCTAGTGGAACATTTGTGGGATCAGCTAGGAAGGGGAAGTAGATCAGGGGAGGCAGTACAAATCTAGGAGAGTTGAAGACTACCTTGAATGAGGAAGAGGACCATATACCACAAGATACTATCAGCCAGCGTTACCCGACGGGTAAGTACTGTTATATCATCCAAAGGCGGCTCAATCATATATATAAGTAAGTGACCGTTTGAAAACTATTAGGTCATTCAATTCTCAACAAAATTTTCCAACATCAATAAATGGTTTCTCTGATGTACAATGTTTTCACTGTTTCGAAGGAGTGTGTTTCTTAACAAACAGTGTATGTGCATCATAAAAAATATAAAGGAGCTTTGTATTTGAGGAAAGTTGGCAACGTAGATGAGTCACATAATTGGGATGGGCAGGGAGAAATGACAATTCAGTTCAGTTCAGTTTATTCAACCATTAACCAAATACTTCTGTGCTCTGGTTTCGATTGCTACCTTCCAACATCGTTTAGTAAAGAGCAAAAATAATAGGAGCATAGTGATAAAGACTCAACCAAATAAAATTATCAGACGGAAATTAAGAGGACAAGGAAAAAGTCCGAATACAACTACGCCACTGACCGCGACACCTAGCCATATCACTTAGTGTCTCCAACCATTTAGTAGGTGGATCATGCGGACTCCAACCTGGAAGTCTAAAACGTCCTACTTGGCCAAGTCCACTGGTCAAGGTTTTCACACCTTTTTGCCATGTCATGGACTGACTACCTCGACTTACCTTCCAATCACCACTTGCCCCAGAGGACAGCGTACGCTGAGGAAGTCTATCGGTGGGCATGCGTAATACATGTCGCAACACCTTTCGCTGAACCTCAACATTGCTGATGCAGTGTTCCCACCATACTCGGGCAATGCTGTGAAGACTTCGGTGCTAGAACACCGACAGTCTTCACCTTTCTTCTACCCTCAACGGCCATGTTTCGGAATCGTATAAAAGAAAGAACCTTACCACTGCAGTGTACACTCTACCCTCAACAGACAATCGGAAGTCAAGCCGACGTCACAGATGACGGAGGCGGGCAAAAGTCAAACGCGCCCTCTGTATACACGATGACACTTCATCCGTTCTGTCCGCCGGGCTAAATGTAACTGCCTAGGTACCAACTGATCCTGAAAGAGACAAATCAGACCACACGTTTGAATGTACAGAATTATGTTTGAGCAAGTTAGTCACCTTGTTGATATCCCCCTTTGTTGCTTTGATTGTCTCCTTCAAGTGGGTCTCCTGCTTGAAACCAATTCCTCGTAATAATTGAAGAACAAATTCTTGTACTTTTCTCGACCGGTGGGATGACACTTGTTTGGCTTTTTCATGACCATGCATTTTAGTTTGATAAACACGTGGTGATCTGTGATATTCAAGATTAATTCTTTCTTTTTTGCTTTGATGTATTCTCTCTATTATAATGCATGCTTGCACGGTACGTGGTACCACCTATACGAAATATTACACTACATTCCCTTCGGTTTTGTACTTCTTGATTCCCGGTAGTTCTGTGGGAGGTTAAATTTATTCAATCCACCCTATATTACATCATCTTGAGTGTTCATATTATCCGTATCGTTTTCCTGGTTGTCGCTACCGCTGTTGTTGTTGTTGTTGTTTTTGGTTCCGCTGTAGCTTTTGCCCCCATTGTTACTCGCAGACCCACATGAACGTGTTGATTTTTCGGGTGATTTTGTTTAGTATGTGCTAGCGAAATAGAAACATTCGACTCCCGAGGTTGCTGGAATTAAATCCACGGATTTAAGCCCTATGTGACGACGGGAGCTTTCGCATTTGCAAAGTAGTAATGCGGGTGGGGTTGATACTGGACAGGTCGAACCATTGGTATTTCTGTCGTAGGAGGAACAAACAGTGGTGTCGGATTGGTCGCTGTCGGGTTAGGGGAAGATGATGACGCAACTGTGATTGGAGCTGGAGCAAGCTCAAAAATGATATCCGTCCTTGACTGTGCAAGACTTGCCAGCTTAAGTTTAAAATTCGGTATTCTTTCGGTTCCTCACCATCTTTGTATCTTAAAGTGAACTCAGTTCCCGGCTTTTCTCCACTCTCGTAATCATTTGGGCTGATTCACCCCCTTTCTCCTCCAGTTGAAACTCTTTTTTCATCATTCTTCTGCTTCCCTCCTCCTTATCCGTTCTGTTTTGTCCGTGCGCAGTTTCACCTCCAAACACTGTTGGTGGTCCTCGTTTGTTCCGGGTCGAATAGATCAGAATAGACCCATTTCCCTCTGCTATCATGCCCCGAGCCGTATTTAGCTAACCCATTTAATCTGGTAACACACAGTAGTCCATTCTATCTAAAAACGGATATGAATAGATGAACTACTCAGAAGTCTTGTATCGCCTGCACATCCATTCTTAATTTACAGATTGGAATTCCTACACTGAATACAATCTCGTCCATTCGCGTGCGCTTTCCAGGAGCACTTTTCTATCTAGTCCTGCAGATCATCTCCAATGTGTTACCATCGCCGGTCTAACGTTCAATTTTAACTGAGTAACCCGGATCGAGTGGACTGCACTTGTATCCGACGCGCCTATACACCCTTGTGCTTAGTTGTTTGTCCACCCTGCTGTGTCGCACATTTCTTGCCTTGTTTCCGTGACAGTGTTAATTGTTGCTATCTATTTCCTTAACTCGTATCTGTGTCGGCCCATCCGATGACTTTATCTGACCGCTCATCTATGAAACCTGTTTTCCACGTATAATGCAATGTTGTTATTGTTTACATACCGTCGTCCCCACTCACGTGCTTCTTCTTGTCCATTCATAGTGTCGCTCCCTCATTGGCATGTTTCTACATCCGGTAATCTATGTAATTATCTAATGACCTTGCTGCTTTGGCTTACTACAGAGCCCCGGTACTTTATTATTTGGATGAATATACGATTTGCGACTGTAATCTCACTTGAATCGCATAGAGGAAAGGTCCATTTTTAGAGTGACGAGCTGGATGTTTCAGAGTTATTTCGTCGGTTCAAACAGGTAACCTTCAGAACGAGGACATGTGGCCCCATATTCGGGTTTTTGCTACAGCTGGTGTGGTATACTATCTGGATTACAGGACGAAATTTCCCGGAAGCACAGGACGGTTTTACCGTTTTTTTGTCGCCTATCAGGTTTACGTATCCGGTACTCTTCTGCGTTTGCTTGAGCACTCAACCGTTGGAGTATGGTCATAATCTTGTTTCAGTCGTAAGCAGCGTGCCTCCGAAGGAATTTTTTCTGTCTTCCACACAATGTACTGCACTACATATAGCAAATGTACGGTCTGCTTCCCTTGAGGTTACCGAAAAGGTGAATTATTCTCTACCCCAATGAGCTAAATCAATTCGCCTCCGATTCTCGGAACTTCGGAGGACTCACCTTACATTTTACTCGAGTGCAGTCGCAGCCAAAATAGGTTTTCATCGATTTTTCAACACGTGAATGATAGAGTGGTGCATTCGTGGACTGCTCTTGTGAATCAACTCATTCTCGAAACAGTTGTTTTGAAGTAACAGTCACCAAATTCGTGAGACGACAGGCACTGACAGACATTTTAGCCTGAGAGCATGACATAACAAAGCCCAGGTACGAATATGCACGCACGAGCATGATACTAATGGTGCACCATAAATATAAATCGAATTAAGATACACCTATCAATTCAAATCTTGTCTGTGCAGAAGGTTTCTACGGAATTTCCTGAATAATAAGTGAAAAACATTGAGAAGCATGACAAAAGTAATCAAAATTGTCACGCCATCGGAAAGAAGTCAGACGAATACTGAAGTAACTCGATGGACAGTGAAGGACGATTGGTCGGGAAAAGTGTGGGATGAACTAACAATAAAGTTACAAAAGCTCTTCCATACACGACATACGCACTTTTTCATATCCTGGTTTGGTAAGTTCCAGTGTCAAATAAGTTATTACTTATCAAGAGCGGAATAAAGGGAAAACATACACTTTTATGGTTCCACATTCCCTATTCTTGAGACTACTGAAAATCCGTTTAACGTATCTGCTTCAATATCATCGTTTTCATTTGATGTGAATTTCGGTGACTGCCTGCATGAACCCATAAGCCATTGGAATAGTATTCCAAGAATGCTGTGTAGACTTAGGAAGTACAAACAACTTTCGGTCTTTCAACATTTGGTGCTTTTCACTCTCACTGCGTAAATAACTGGTCTGTTTGACTATCAATAAAATAAAGATCTGAGGTATACTCCTAATAAGGTTCGCAAGCCTAACGCAGTGTTACACGTTGTTGTTTTATCTCCACATCCCCCTAGGACCTTCACCTTGAACACAACTACAACTGGTGCTAACTGGCGAAAAAAATCACCCATATTTCTGATTTCGAGCGGTTCCTTTTTATTATAATTTTACCGTAGTCACACTGGTACCTAAGATATAGGAGGGTACAATACGTTACCTATTACTGTTATCTTAAACAAGTTCTAAAGGGAAACCTAACGTGCACATGAAAGATTGTCGTCCAAGATGCCTGTAGAACGAGTAAGAATTCGCATGAAATGGATAGAGGGTCAGTAATAGTTCATTTCATATTATGGCACGGAGACAACAACAAATGAACTCAGACATGAATGCTGTATTCCTGAACAAAAATAGATGTCTCGTGGCATTATTTATAAGGACATTTTTTAAGGTTATATTACCTCTCACAAATTCTCCAATGTGATCCTCACATTCTTTCCCTCTGGACTACGTTCGACGAATCTTTCCTTTCCTTGTTCTGTATCTGTGACACTCAAGCACTTACGAACTAAAGACGGAAGGAGAAAATAGGGTGTCATATCATTTTCTGGAGAGAATTAGGCCTTATCGGCAATACTTCCGTACCAATTATCCTTTTTGTGATTCTTGGGTATATATGTTTGTAAAATGAAGACATTTCGAAACTGTTAACCTCCTACCTTGTGTACTTGACTTTCGTAAATCTCTGTTAGCCCTAGCTGCTTTGATATGGTGGGTCAAATTATTTCCAGCAAAAAGTTAACCAGAAATATTACTGAAAATAATTTTTGTTTCGATTTCTTCTCTTTTCGTGACTTGCTATGAAGACCTAACAATCTGCTGAATTTGCTAGACCAGTGGATGAGTAAACCTGAGGTTTTAGTGTCACAAAAGAAGATGAAAAATTAGATAGTCAATATTATTTTGACAAATATCTTCTACAGCATCGGCTCACAGCTGCACACCTCAGTAAAATCCTAGTTCAATTTTTGAAGATATCAGCTATTGATTTGTTTAATCAGACGTTTATTAAACTTGTGAGACTAGTTTCTGAGGAAAATGTTATACTGAGTTCATTTGGACACTGGACATGCATATCTGTCAGTTTCCCCTGCTTATGTAATATCAAACGAAGGGTGCTAAATAATCACAAACTTTAATGCATTAGCATGAAAGAAGAAACGGTTGTTGGGCCCTTCGGAATAGGGAACTATATAAAGCACCAAAAGATCGACTGTGATGACTAACCCGGGCATCAGCGGGGAATTCTATCACCAAATATGATTGATGTAGGTGGTCTTGAACCGCCTGTCTCAGGGTGTGACCAGTTTAGAGTTTAGGTTTCATTTTTATCCAACTCCGTAGTTTATCTCTGTTTATATACGTAACCAGTTTCATCATAAGTGCCAAAAGGATATACCTTTATCTAAATTTGTGGCTCACACAATTCCGGAACTTCAATTTTACTTTACAGACGGTGAAGATTACTGCACTATTCGTGATGTGGATGACCTACAAGAGGCGGTGGAATATATGCAATCGGAGGAGAGTGGTCTTAAGGGAATACGAATATATGCATCTCCAGAAAAAAAGGAACACCACACCATTTTTGGCAAGAAACCATCTGCAGGGCCGGAAGAGCAACAAGATTTACCGGAAGTGGAAGATCACGACCTTCATTCGAGTAAACATTCCAATGAGGATATAAATCCCCTTTCGAACTGGGAATTACTGAATTTAGATAGTGAAGAAACTAAGATGAATGAGGTAGTGGATGAATCCCCGAAAGAAGAACCAAAACCAGCTGAAGAACAAAAAGAAGAACAATGTGACGAGGGAAGAGCTACTACTCTCGTTCCAGCCTCGTCAATGAGGATCCCTTCCAGTATTGTGGAAACAACCGCAGGTTACTCAGAAACTTCTACTCTGGCCTCAGCCACCCCTGCAGGCACTACCGAAGTCACCTGTGCTGCTGTGACGGCAAACGCTGTTGTTCCCGGCATGCCCCCAACACAGACGGGCTCCTTCTTGGCCTGCATGCCACCGTACGGAATATCCCAATATTACCTGCCTCCTACGGGAATACAACCCATGTTTGCTCCACAGTGGAATGGAAGTCAGATGGTGCCAATGGCATGCCCCGGAATAGACCCGACGACAGTGCAAACTCCACCACAGAATATCCCCACAGCACCACCTATGTCACAACAACCACTAGTCACTTCTATGTCTCATACCGATACCGCACAAAGAGAAGCCGTACCACTACCCGTTGTAGCCAATAATCAACAGTCGCAGGAACAAACGCACGTCCCGAAGACAGAAAACCGCAAAAAGGACAAGTCTTCTAAATCATATTACATGCCACTTTGCATGCAAACTCTTCGTTCCATGGGATATACGCAAGATGAAAGGACACTGAAGCGCGTCATTCGCAATAAAAAGGGTAATTTAAACGAAATTCTGGACGCGCTCAACAGCGGGTTACCCGACGCATTGTGATACCGCTGGATTTTGTGTGCACCCAAAGCAAACAGACAAACAATAAAAAATCTTCCACTCAGTTACGAGAACATAAACATATTTGTAGCTCTTAGAAGCAGCTCATAATCATCAGTATCCATCTGTCCATTCATCCAAACAAACAGTTGACATTTACACCAAGAACTATAGTTATTCGAACTGAGTCTTAGCGTCCAGAAAAAACTTTCTTGCTCTAATTTTTTAAGAACGACTCTCTTCCCAATAATCACTGGTTAATTTTCATTGGAAAATGATTATTACATCCTTCTCTCTCATTAGCTTCTAATCTAAGTCCAACAAACAACTGTTACTTTTGTTTAGTAGGATTCTTCCTCTGACATATATATATATATATATATATATATATATATATATATATATATATATATAGAGAGAGAGAGAGAGAGAGAGAGAGGGAGAGGTGGTTGGTCTGGACGGTGAAATTCACCTCATACATGGATACTTGCGCACACGTGCACGTAGCTGAATTATGAGAAACTGTAGCAAAGGTAAAGTTGCAACGGAGTGTCTGGTATCGAAAAAATGTAGCTAGGGCTTACGAGCGCTTGGTTTTTTGGCAGTTCGAATGACGTATCACTCAGTGTCCTTGAAAGTTATGCGAGATTACTTAAGTCATTTGAATAAACTTTGGTCTCTCGTTGTTGAGATAATATCGAAATGAATCCCATTAGCTCCTGTCAGCACAGCGTATGAAGCAAAATTCGAGAGGGATATAAGCGACCACAGCTCCCACATGAATCTTCTGCTGAGAGGAGACTGTAACGATGTTTATTTACCACTGGGTCGAACCTGAATAGCAAGGCTACAGGCTACGTGTGGATTACAGTGAGAGTGTGCAGTTTGTACTTCAAGGCTTGAACAAGATCAGCACAAGTGAGTATGGATCAAGGCTGAATTAAATCACTTTTTGTTGGATTGGGATAAGTTACTAATCCCGGGCAAGTCACTATCTTTTTATGAAAGTAACTTTTCCGATCAGTAAGTAATAAACCAATCTCTCATATTCTCTGAACTCGTAATTGCAGACTTACATTTAGTCGGATTCTTGCTATGGACCATGATACCATCTAAATAAAATAGGCGTTGGAAAGGTCGTCTGTCCTGTGAAGGTCAGCTGCACCAGCGACAGGAATGCAGCGGCGTCAGTTAAGAGGCTAAAAACTACAATTTTAAGGTTAAGTAGAACAAAAACTGTAGCTTTTTTGTGGCCTGATCGTCAGATTTCTAAGGGTTCGAAATAAAGCTTCTCGAAAGCCCGATAAAGCCTTAAAATGAAGCGGAGATGAGTACTCCTGTGGGATTCAGATCGATTTTTGGTAAGTCCCGTCTAGGCGCCGTTGGCCGTTATCAGTATGATATCGAATCACTGAGCATAATTTTATCAAATTTTTATTGATTAGTTGTTCTTAACGTGTTGGAATGCGTTAGGTGTTGGCTAAATTGCGGTGAAATTTCCATTCCAAAATTTCGTGGGGCTTGGCCACTCGGAAAACGCTGGATGTTTGGAAATGGTTATGTCGGTGGTCCAGTCGGTCACAACATGATATTTAATTAGAAACCGAAGCTAGGCTAAGATACCACTGCCCTCTGATCTCGCTAACACGGGGGGATCTTTGCTTTTCCAGGATGACATTTTGCGCAATGTATAACAAGATACAAATGACTGAACCAGAGGAATAAGTGACAGAACGCGGTTATCTCAGACGCCCCTTTACAGAACACACTTTTTAAAATGCCACTCAGTATGAGTGAATTCGGTTACGAGGAAGAGCACCCTAGACTTAGTCTTTTGGGACCATGATACGATGAACACTTAATGCCTAAAAATCAGTCTCCTGTAGGCTATTCCCACAATTTTGGTTAATAGATATCCGAACACTGCCAACCAATGAAGAAAAAATGTATTCTCACAACCATACAAAAACAAATTGTGTTCCACAATAAGCTGACAAAGTGGAAGTACCAACAGCCTATTAGTCAGGCACCGTAACTCCGTTATTAGCCAAACACAACGAAAGGCCAAAACCATCATTTTCCCTACTAAGAAAACGCAGAGTATGTGAAGAATCCACTGCATTTCCATAGCCTGTCTCAATTACCATATGGGTGCTCATCTACTTACCCTAGTGAATCATCGAGATGACTGCATAACAAATAACTGTAAAAGTCCTGGTCATACCTGAAGGAGGAGTGGATGATTACTTTCACCGAACTAAAAGAAATTGTTCAAATTTCGCATCACACGACGTCTGTGGTGGAAGAAGTAATGAGTGAGTCCATATTCGTGTTTATTGTCATTTCAGTCTCAGACAATCCAAGACTGTCAAAATGCTTTAGCAGTTAGCCAGCTTTATGCACAGACCTTGTGTTACTCTAACGGCCCACTGTCCAGCAAGCATCTGAGTTCCAGCAGCGTATGAGTGATCCTAGTCCAGCCTTTGAATTTACTTGTATTCGCGAGCTGCTTAGCATTTTCATTGTCGTATAGCTGATTAAGAAGATGAGATACCAAGCTTCCTCGGGAGCAGATCAAACCAAAATCGCAGAGTTGTCGATTAGTATGAGACATTAGGCCGATGATTAAACCAGCTAATTTGCTTTGCCTTGGTGTTATCACAGAATGAAATGACTAGTGAATCCTTCGTCTTCAACCGTTATTAATAAGATCGTTATCATTAAAATGTTAAAATGATTGCTTCGACTGTAGTATGCATTAGTGGAGACTGGACAAAGAAAAGGGATCATAAACGAGTGACTATGAAGGTAAATAAGTGTCTTTTTGGGTTCTTCACGGCATGCATTTTTGTAACTTTTGGAAGTTTCTTTGATGCTTTTTGGGACCCGAGCTTCTCAAGTGCACCACACAGCATTCACACCAGTAGATTTAGCTCCGAGGCATACACTTGAATTAATCTAGCCAATGACAGTCGTCATCCCTTTTACCTCAATCGAGAAGTCGGGATGTCTCAGGGCTAGCACCGATATTCACACCCCTCGCCAAGTTATGGTCTGACCCCTATGTTCCTTCAACCAGCTCACAGAGCACATGGTGAGAAACAAGATGGACAGACGTGTAAAACCTATTCAAGTCCCCAGGGGTGGTCTAGAATGTTGGCCTCGGTCAGGGGGCGGCTAACCATTGCCCAATACAAGAGGACGAACCTCTTGGTCACTCACTCGATGCTCCGGCCAGAAGAAAACAATGCTTTGGAGATATGGACGGTCGAATACAGAAATTCGCAGATATTTCTCAGCCCGGAGTGGTTAGGATTCGTGACTACAGCAAAGCGCTGCGTACCCTAAGTACTCTAAATTGAATCCACAATTCCACGGTTTAATGTATCAGGTGACTCAAACTCTGATGTGCGCGTATCTACACACGTTTCTTCTATCTAACAAATCTACCCGTTTAGTTTGAACTTTCCAGAGAGACAGTAGCCCAAACTAAAAAGAATAATGCTGAACTTTCTGTAAGTCTAGTTTGAAACTAACATATAATAAAACCAGATTCCAGAAAATTCAGCCGGATAAAAGTAAAATAATTTCTGAAATAACAAATGGTGTAATTTTAACCACTGTAAACAAGAAATCTTGCTTCCACGACGGGAAAATCACGCGCACACATATATTTACACTCACAAACATAAATGCACACACAGTATTTTGATTGAAATGATCAATCGTGTAGACGAGTCACGTGAATATAAAAACGCCGTTGGCAGACAGCTGATCCATGAAACAAAACCATTGTTCGTGCCGAAAGAATGCTATTTTATACTTCCACTGACTGTCTTAAGCTTCAGATGCACATAGCACATGACTGGCTGTATAGTATGCATGTATAACATGACAGAATTTTATGATTAGCTGGTGTGACTTCCAAACAAGTACGCAATTCTAATAACCTAGCAAATAATAATCTGTCATAGTGTTCGAAATGAGCTTGAATAGTTCTCTTGTATGAGCTTGGTGAGTGGTATGCGTTGAAAGCGTACTTCTCCGAGGGATCACGGGTATTTTGGAAAATGATACTGAGGCTTTCATACGTGGAAAGATGTCGAAAACTGAACCCTGACATATCGTGTGGAAAGGTTTTCTGCTAAAATTTAGTTGAAAAATTGTGACAACGTTTGAGGATGCGTGTCCAGTAGTTCGTTGAGAAAGATCACATAACTTCATCAGTGAACTTACCCACTAATAATTTGTTCTTTTTTGAAGTACAGTTGAGAGTACTTGTTTACACATGACTTGTAGACACATTTTTGAAAGAGTTATGAGTTTGCTTTCAAAATAATCGTCAAACTTGGGTAGAGTTTGCTATTCGTTTTCTGAACTCGCTTTGTCAATATATATATATATATATATATATATATATATATATATATATATATATATATATATATATATATGCATCAGACATATGGATAACATTTGCGATTCTCGAAAAGTATCAGCTAGATGGACTTCACCGACATCTAAGCACTCTGGTGCCCGGAATAAAATTCATAGAGGAAGAAGAATGGGAGGCAAAACTGCCGTTTGTCAACATTCTGATCGAGTCAAGCAGACAGAAACCTAGGAACAACAGTCTGTCGGAAACCAACGACAACCGACGTCATACTGAACTTCCAAAGCAATAATCAAACATGCCACCTGAAGAGCTGTATGCGTACCCTATTCCACCCGGCCGACACACAACGAAGCACACCCGAACTCTGGGAAAAGAACTAGTTAGACTTTTCAAGTTGTTCGTCGCAAGCCGTTACTCAAAGAGCTCCGTAAACTCCTGTATTCGGTGTAACAAGAAAAGCCAAAAGATAAACAGCCCAAAAAATATAGTCGTGCTACCATATATACGAGAAGCATCACAGGCCCTAGATTGCATGCTGAAACCGTTGGGCATCAAAGTTGCGCACAAACCCGTCAGCCCTCTGCTGACCGCCGTATTCTGCGGAAAAGACTGTGGGGACCAGCAAGACCAGTCAAGAGTGATCTACGGTATCCCATGCCTAGAGTGTGTTAAGAAATACGTAGGTCAGGCAGGTAAACAAATAGGCACTCTTATACACGAACACAAACTAACACAGTGATGTGCCGATCCACACTCACAGACTTTTAAACACTGAGCACATACAGGTCACGAGGTCAAAGTCGATAGCGCAAGGGTGGTCGCACAGCAAAGAAGAAGTGGGTAAGCCTGATCATGAAAGCCTTCCATTCGATCAACTCGTTAATTCCAGTCGTCGAGGCCGATATGCATCACGTCACCCAGGCAAAACCGTTGCCGAAAGATCGAGAAACGGACAGACTAGCAATACATCAAATATATACGGAACCAAACGTCCCATTCACACAATTCATTAACTTTTGATAACGGGGCCCAGTTTGGATCGAAATGTCACAATACAGTTTACTCCCTAACTTCTCTATATTATATATGTACATATATTATTAGTACGTAAATTGGTAAATTGTAGTTGAGTACTCGATTCGTCCTCGTCGGCTTCCCTTAAACGGTTGCCTCCATGTTGTCGCTTAGTTGCCTCTCGATAAGAATATCGAGGAAAGCAAGCTTTGATTTGCTTCCTTTCTCTTTTCTGTACAATTTCTGCATTGAGTTTAGAAAGCTATCAGTTTAATATGAGAACCGAGTCTAAACAATGGTTGCTGCATTCATTATTCAAGTGGTTTCATCTTGAATTCCACAGCCTGTGCAGTGGAACCATTTCTCATACCTGCCCTTTGTGAGTATGTAGTTTGATAAGAAACAGCTGAACAAGGTGTTTCAGCGTGAAAGTGTTGGTGAATCGATATCGATCAAACTTCACGTACGGTGTTGTGTACACCCATGGAGCTTCGAATTTCTAATATTGCTACTGAAAACTGTAGTAGTAGCTCGATTTCGAGTCCTGCTGAATTATCGTGCGAAAAATTGCCTTTTATCATCCCCCTGGGGAAAAGGTGAACGACGTCGAAATTTGCAAGTTATACATTCAAAAGTTCTGATTTTAACCCCGAAGTGATCGGATAAAACCACTTACGCAAGTCGAGCGCACCGGTAGGGTTATGTAAACCAACATGGACTTATTCTCAATAAACGGGTCATGCAAGTCAATTTAGCAGCGCCTTGACTAGAAAACTGGGGTTGAATAGCAAGTTATGAAGTACCTGATCATCGATATTTCATCCGTTGGCGCAGCGTTTATCGCCGATACTTCTGCTGAATAAGCTGGTATATGCAGCTGGGTCTGCTGAATATGGGAGACTTCGATGATTTTACCCCGTTTTGAACAACCATTAACGGTCCATGGATTTTGGCGTTTCTCTGATTGCTACCTGAATAGGAGAGCAAAGTAGGAAGAGAGATGAAACTAAGGATAGTAAAATGATGACTAAGTTGCGTGAATGCAAAGGTCTCACTTGTCATGATAAGTAGTCTTATCTATCTGTCCATAATCACTGGTTGTGAAGATCTCGTGGAAGTCCGACACCAAAAATACTCAATTGCTATGATCCAGCTCTTGATATGTTTCGCCCATCTTATGGACTGTCCAAATAACGATGCTTATCCTGTCAAGGTTGATGTAGTTTGTAATAAGAGGTAAATGTTTACTTAGTAAAGTTGACATAACCAAATCTTACTGCTAGTTGAAAATGGTTATTGTATTTTTTCCCATTATCCAGCAAACGGCGTCGAAATCAATGTTAGCATATTATTAACAAATGTTAGCTTCCCGGCTCTTATTTCAATCAAGCCGTCAACTAAGTATGATAACCAAGTTGGATAGTTTTTGAAGAATGCACTGTAAATGCGACTGTTTTGTGCACAGTCATCGGTGGATAGCTCAACCTTGAACACGATTCGTGTGACACGGTAATTGAGGAAGTCTCCGTTAGTTACGGTTAGTCATCGATTCAAGTAACTTGAGAGAATGCTGAACATGTTGGCGAGTGTTATTTGACTTCGTTTCGAAAACCGAAGTGAAATCTACTAAATCGTGATAAAATCATACATTCCTATTGGATGGCATAGTCACTGAGATTTCGGATTGACCACATCAATCTATATATTCCCCATTTTGATCAGGTGAGTTAAAGTACGGGATGTAGGAATATATAGAATACGTTGTCAAATAGTATCACAGGTCGTGAGTTAAAAAACACTGACAAATAAGCTGCTGTTTACGCTCAGTCACCCTAATATGAACGTGGACGGGATCAGTATTTATACTTTTAAAGCGGACAGGAGAACCATTTATTCAATCAGTAGCAAAACTGCTTCACTAGTGGACGACTGGAAGGCTCGACCGATTGACTCGTTTGTCGTCCTCTAGTCATAACCACCCTTCAGAAGACGCGGTCATCCTCAATTAGGTATGGATGGACCTCGCTGGTATTTCAATCTCTGGCGTAACTGCAAAATCAGCCAAAAAGAATAATGTGAAGTTTCATTCAAGACTTAATCTTTATGCGCCTTAGTCGGCTACGGTCCCCTCTGACTCGCTATTCAATTTGTTGGGAAGTACTGGGTCGTTAGTTATTTTGACCACACAGACCATAATTCCGTCTCTCTCAAAATTACCGAATCATTGAGAGAGATCAGCGACGGTGCTAACTCTATACTGTGCACCCTTAGTTGTCTCATCTGCTCGGCAAATTAACACTTGTGATCGTTAGTGACCGAAAAGGTTACAGCGGCTTACATCTGTCGGTTACAGATCTTGCTGATAGTACGGAACAGATGATATAACTGCGAATCCTATTTACCATATTTGCGAAATCTTTAATTCATAGGTTCGAACGAACCCAACAAGATTTTAAAAGCAGTCCCAAATCAAGGTGTAAGCCCATGGCTACTGTAAAACAGAATTAGACTAAAAATACGGGGACATGCTAGTTAGCAGGCTGCGCCTATCTCTGTTACTCCATGCAAAGTGACGGTGCCGTCTGTGATCAATGCTAATGTTCGCTCTCTTTCCTTTAAATTATTGGATTTACCAAGCATTTTACGGACATAGATTCTTGTTCATGCATGCATAATATGTGTTCAAGAATCTTGGCTAAACGAGAATGCTGACGACTCTGATTCGCATAGACGTGTTTCAGTGCCGTCTTCAAGATCAGGTGCTGAAGAAAGAAGAATACAAAGGTGGAGCAGTGACCTACGTCAACTAACCATGCAGTGGCAAGTCTGCTGCTGTTTTCAAATACAAAAATGGTATTACAAACGGTATTGAGTGTCTCTCTACACATTGTTTCCCGATATATGTTCGCAATAAAAGCATTATTATCCCAAGCGTGTTTATAGCGCCTTTTTGTGTGCAATCCAATAAATCCCCCTATTAAGACGCTTTTATTCCAGTTCTAGGTTCCCTCCTAGACGAAGGCTTACATACCATCGTTGGTGATTTTAATCAGGGTAATACTGATCTGCTTTTACCGTTCGGATTAACTGATATCTGTTCTTCTCCCACAAGAGTGAACTTCATGTTAGACAATGTCGTTACCAAACACCCTTGCTTATTTTTTTTAAATTTAGAACCCTTCTCTCTACAAGTGACCATAGTTTGCTTCTTCTAAGTCCGAAAATCTATTCACCTACTGTCCATAGATTATTCGCGTTTTTAAATCAGACAGGAACTCGCCTTCCCAATCTTTCTCCTCACTACCTATTCCTTCCTAATGTAGCGATCAAGTGTTGCCTTTTCATGGTTTTTTCTCTACACCCTCAGTCTTCCGAGCTGCAGAACTTTTTACTGGAGCTCCTGGTGCCATCTTCGGCTTGTTTTACACCAGTGAAACACCTTTCACTTCTGATGGCAGAACTGCCTCACCAGCACTCAAACCTCTCAGAAGACAAAAGGAAATCGCATTCGAGTCTGGCCGAAGTTCAGGACTCAGGAAACGTTCGCTGCCGATCAAGACAGATAAGGTATTTGGATGCTTAAATTGACAAAGCTTTTCTGCAGTCCAAGAATACGAAGCTTCTTTGGCACTGCGTAAGACTTTTGTATGGTCAGAAGACCAAACACACAAACTATACGGTCAATGTGAACCCCCTTATTGCTACGTCTATACATCTTTCCTGTGACAGCCCTCCTTCATACTCATGTAGTGTTTCTGCCGAGCTTGAACCTTTCTGTATCGCAGGCATTTTTAACACTCTTTGCGAATCTAAAACCTAGCCGGCTGCTGGTCCTGATGGCCGTCCTTCAGCGATTCTCAAGTATTGTTCTGCTCAACTTGCCCCACCGATCACTACTTTGATGAACGAATCCCTATCCCGATGTTCGATTCCTGATCCGTGGAGTCCGAATACCATCGTTCCCATTCCCAAAGGCTCCAACACCTGTGGTGGACTTAAACGGTTTCTCCTCTTTGCCCTCTCACCTGTAGCCCTTAAAGTCACTGAAAAGGGTGTTCCCACCAATCTTCATACGCTCCTCAAAGTACCACTTGACCCTTTTTCAGTTTGCTTATAAACCCAAAAGATCCACCCTTGATGCTGTAGTCTGCTTGATCCATTCTATCACTAAGTCTTTAAATAATTCTGAGCAATATACCCACTGTGTATTCCTTGATCATTCTTCAGCCGTCGATTCAGTTCCCCGATCTCGTCTTCCTCAGAAGCTTGAAGCTTTCGATTGTCCTGCACAACTTTTTTCCTGGCTACCAAACTATTTGCATGATCCAGTTCAGCAAACTAAGGTCGGGCAAAGCACTGCTAAATCATGTGTTAACAATTCCGATGCACTCCAGGAAGCACTGCAATTTTCGACCTATATTAGCGATTTTCGGGTTTCTTCTCTATTTAAAATATTCAAATACGCTGATGAAATTGTCCTCCATCATGCTATTTCTAATTACGCAAATGTCATGAAATCCGAGGAAAACCTACCTCGGATTGGACGTTTCTCCTCCCAGTTGGATCTAAAACCGAATGCATCTGAGTGCCTTGAATGTGTTTCCACTCTCTCGCTCACGTTTCTCTACGGATCCTGTTATACCGAATCTTAAATCCTTGTTCATAATTAGTTCCGTCAATTACCTGGGTATTAGCTTGGACACCAACTCAGGATAGGCATCTCGCATTCAATACTGTGTCGGTAAACTGCGATGCCTATCCTATAAATAAGAAAACTCAATTAATTCTGTACTCCACCGAAAACTGTCTTCAAATTTGTTCCTCTGATCATATTGTACTGTTAACCCACATTTTTCCACAGCTTTTTTAAACAAGGCTTCAAAGCCTTTCGAAATGGACCGGTAATTACTAGCCGCGTTTCTTCCCTCTCTTTGACTTTTGTTTGAATGAACTAGTCAGACACCATGAGGAATCCTGCATAGGCCTACTCCAAAAGATATTACACGATCCCGTGCATCTACCACTCCCTGATTTATCTCTTTGTCGTTCTCTTCCATCCATTGGATCTGAATTTCAACACCTTTCTTCCGGAATTAACCTGCATACTCTCTTGTACCCTATCCGGCGCTGGTTTTAACCAGAAAGGATAAGAGTAAAATGGGATTACTTTCTGAATTTTTCCTGATGTTTTGTTTTCCTTTATCACTCTTGCATACCTCCAGCGCTAATTATTGTATATTTTGTTTATTTTACTCCCCTTTTATAATACCATTTCTACTGAAATGTAAGCTTGTTGTTTGCAAATTCTGTCGTAAAAATATAAATACAAAATTTCCCGGGGTTGTGGGACTAAGGGCAGTCTGCCAACAAGTGCACTTGCTTTTCCGAGTTCATCATGGTCTCGGGCAGCTTTGACAAAAACCAGTAGCGTGTGGTGAGACGGAACTTACTGTTTCTCTAATCCGAGTGAATGATTCTTCCGAGTGGCGGATTCTGAATGATACATGTTGGCAATCAGAATAATTCGCAAGTGACATTGACCAAGGTCACAACAAAATGTACCGCAGCCAGTCGGGGGGTAACCGCGGAGACCTACCCCGCATGAACCAGAGAAGTTACGTCTGAGTCTATGTGCCATGGTCACCGAGCTGGACTCCAAACACCAAGAGCTTAAGTCGATGCTCTGCTGATATACCAAGTCTCTCCTGTGTTGCGTCTTGCAGTTTCTCGCATGGCACTTGTCGGATGGGTTGCATACAATAGTCCTAGCTACTAGAGCCAGGGCAGGCGGCAAGTGCCGAACCCGAAAGGTATACTTGGTAGATTGGCTGGTCATGCGGGCCATTCAAAATTGTGTTTCTACCTGAACCAGCCAAAACTCTGGGTCTTCACGAATGAGCTCAGGAATCCCCAGGTGTACTGAGAAAATACCAAGCTATTCTAAGTCTCCTACTTCTTTAGCGTTTATTAG